AAATAGTGGCAACTGTGTCTGCACACGTTTAGTACACTGAATGACCATGCGCGCCAACTCAGTTGACGGTCCCTCACCGCCGGCTTTCTAACAAAATGCCTATATTTGACCCGCAGGATTTAAAGACTTACGGGAATTGCCGTCATCGTAATTGCTCCATTCTTGAGCTTGTCTTCAGTTTTCTTCCGACTGCGGACCTGCAACGATTCATTCATATCCATGGGACAGTGTCCCATCGTATTTGCCTTGAAACACCTTTCAAAATTCATGCAAAAACTGTGCTTGCAGAAAGGTGTTCTCTTGTCTACTCTAGACCCACCGTCGCGTAAACCTTGCGTTTTAAGTTGGTTCACCTGATCCTTAAGCTCCCTTATTAGCTCTGCTTGTCGCCTTACTTCTGCTGCGGTCACATTCAGTTCACGAACCAAGCTTGATATACTTTTCTTGCCAGTTTTATTCAAAAGTGTTTTGCCCTCCATGGCTGTATATAACATTTCGCCCAGCTGACAAGGAGGTCGCACATCAATTGCTAGGACTATGTTTTTAAATTTATTGCCCCTTTGTACCTCTTCGTATCCGTTCTTTCGGTTAGCGAAAAGCTTTAGCGTCGTTAGTACCTCAGCGACCGAGCAGTTATTCGTTTCCCATTCCAACCGCTTTTCTTCCTAGACCGCAAAAGCCTGGCTAATCTTTTCAGCCGCGAGTCTCGTTTCCGTTACATTGAGCATCAAGACTAGCCTGATATCTTTCAGCAGGTAATACAAAAACTCGGTGCTTCCTTCTCGGCACCAATCTAACGCTTTTGTTACTTCGTCGAAGACTTCTCAGGGGATTCCTCCTTCGGTTCGCCATCCAATCGTGGACCGTTTTCGGTCTCTACTGTTCTGGCATCTTCGGCTTTCTTCGAACTTTCCAAAACTTCTTCGCTCCTTCGCCTCCCGAGCGCATTCTCGACGTCATCAGCGCTGAACTGACTCAGCCCCCATGTTGGGCGCGCCTAGCCTGGCAATGGCGACGCTCCTCGCAGCCCACTTATACTCTCTTGACGCTGTATCCTTCCGGCTGAACTGCACGGGGACGCCGAAGACTTGATGGTAGCTTCATTGATACTGACGAACCATGGGAAGATGACAAGAATAATGAAACAATCCCTGATCACTCACATTTATATACAGGATTTAGCGCCTAAAAATCAAAAATGATCACCGGGAAAAGGTAGATCACCAAGTCAAACGACCTTCACGAAATTTCTTGCCAAATCCGCGCGCCCTCCGATATCCCGCTTTGCTCAACACTAACCATAAGTCTGTCGATATTTTTGGGTTAACTCTTCATTAAATGCGTTTTTTTAGCATTTGCACGCTGAATTCAGCATTTCTGGAACAGATTATTCATTTTTCGGCGTAGTGCAGTGTTTTAAAGCCCATCCTAACGGGGGTTTTGTGCTTTGCTGTTCCGGCAAAAATCTTCTGACCTCCGGCTAAAGTTTGCATCAACTGAATTATTTTCTTTTTGCATTCTTTTGTTCTTTTCATAATTTGTACAAAAAAGACCTAACAAGGTAAGAAAATGTCGGTGCACGCGCTGCCTCCGTACACTTCATCGGCCTTAAATTCGGTGGACAATTCAAAATGAATTTTCTGTGTACTTTGACATTTGACTGTTGGGTGCTATTGATGCCTTGAAGACTGTAGCGGCGTCAAATCGTACTTGGCCTTGCGACAGCACTTTCATGCATCCGATTACTTCAAGATCTGCGAAAAATTTTTTTTTAGTTAAGAAGGATGGCTCAGTTATACTAAAACTGGTGAATGGGAATCAAAAGTTATGGACCACAGCAGCGGCAGCAGCAACAGCACCAGCAACAGCTTCGACATCGGACGTGGAACTTGTAACGGCGAAAAAAATTGGTAAGGCAGTTACAGGCGCAACAACGATAAAAGCTTCAGTCTCGAAATTTTAAAGATTCATAGTTTTTTTTTATCGGAGGTGGCTGTTCACTCCCTTAAGTCGATGGCGACAAAATTATCCCCTGGTTGAAGCGATTAATTTACCAATTTCCGTGAGTCAGGAGGATGGCGCGAGGGTTCAAAAAACAGCAAACGGATGTGCAATCCACCATTATGCCTAGATGTTGATAAGGCCTTTAAAACATGGTACAAGCTGTGCCCGCGATTTCATTCACTTCAGTCTAGCGTTTGAGACGCTTCTCCAGTATCATAAGTTGCTTCAAATGCTGCATTTCAGTTACATTTTTGATAAAAATTTCCGCTTTTCTGATTAACATTCCTTCACGACACACGATAGCCATAAATCCTGAAAAGTTTGGAAATCCGGAAATGCTGAAGTAACACAACACTTACCATAATTTTTTTTCCAGGATAATTTCTAAAATAAATAAAAAATTAATAAGCAAATGTTCGCAGCTGCCGAAGACAGTAAAAACGAAAAGGACTACGTAAATATGGACGAATCACTAACTGAAAATCTCAAAAAAAAACTGTACGAATCCGCAACGAATGAGGCTGTGCAATCCGAACAATCAAAACTCCAAGCAGCAGAAATGGTGAGCAGTGAAGAGACGCTGAATTTACCGCTTGAAGTCAAGGCTGTGAACCAAAAGGACTGCATTCAGACATACAAAAATGTCCGAGGAATGTGTAATCCACCGTCAACATCACAGCTGTATCGAGCCTGCAAATCTTGGTATAGACTCTGCCCAGATTATCATGAATTGTCGTTTTCTCCAGAAACAGCAGTGCAAAGTACAGGATAAACTATTAGATGTTAGTGTTAAAGCCGGCAAGCGCTTTTTGTCCCACAAAATGTACAGTAAACTTATTGCCATTTATACTTTTTGTTGCACAGTTAGTGAAAACTAATGGGAATGATATGGCTGAATCTGGTACCAGAGTACTGCAGTCATCACCAACAAAAGACAGCCGCAGCGATTGTTTGAGTAGTTTGATGGTCATCCAGGATCGAAGAAAAGATGAAAACTTACTTCTTAGCCACGCAAAAACAGAAACAGAAGTGGGGATTTTCAAATGAATAGAATAGAAAAGAAATGTAATTTTCCAGCCTTTTTTCGGGAAAGTAAACACATCACATACTAATAAACAAGTGCTATAATGCCAGGTACCACAGTTCTCAAAGATACAGCTGTGAGGTATTCGATAAAAATATATTGCAGAGGAAGCGGACATGTCCGCTTTCAGCACTAAAACTGCCCTTCTTGAATTTGTGCTTCCTAGTCAGAAGTAGTGACAGCACCATATAACGCAATTTCATTATTGCTGGGACTTTTCTTCATCCTTCTCTATTTTGAGCCTCTCTCACCCAAATAATTCTATGTGGCCGTTCAACTGGACTATTACACCGTATTGTAAGTCTGTTCTGTCTTTTTAACATTGCTTGGGCATCATTAAATAATCCGTTTTGTTCATCTGTTGCATCTTATTCTTGCTTCAGCCCATCTCTTTTCGCATATGGAAACTGTTGGTTTTTCCACTGTATTATTATACAATTACTTACACCAGGATATGATTTCTTTAGGGTACCAGAATGCAAATTTTTATCGCAGAGAGCCAGAAAACAAAATGATTTATTTTCCACATTTTTAGGGCTTTAGGCGCTTGAAAAAATTAAAAACAATGTTGGCAAAAGACTTAAAGTAAAACGTTTGTCAAGGATCTTTCCATATTTTACGCTCTGTTAGAGGAGAGTTGCAAATTACATGAGCGATGGCATACTGTTAACAGCGGGCTTTATGTGGCCTTCTCTTGAGAGGCTTCTTCAAGGGCAAACTGAAATCTATATAGACTCTTTTTTGCCCCAATTGTCAAAACTCCCACCATATTTGTCTTCGGTGAAAGCACTTGGAAGTATGCTGCCCAATGCCATCAGCGGGGACATGATAAGCCAAAGATTTTAAATTTTGGCTATGTCTTGGTTCGTGTTATTAAAAAATCACCCTCCAAACAAGTTCAAAAGATGGTAGATGATTAGGATTCACCAATTTCGACCGTAAGCTGAAGCTTTGCAAGTACCACTACTTACAATCACATCAGACACGTAGTTGTCCTCATGCAAAAAGGTAAATTTCATATGTGTTTATCTCGCCTGGTCCCGTTCGTCTAGCCTTCTTGATTCAAAAAGTGTCTTATTGCGCAGTGTGCCGAGGAATACCACTGTTTTTGTGCAGGAATTTGAGGTTCAATTCCACCAGCGGGATAATCATTCCCTCTGCAGTTCGTTAATTCATTTCGATGGCAAATTAGCACTGATACTTGTTAGAGAATCAAGCCCTACATTAGCTTGTTTCTAAGTAACTCTTGACAGAGAAAATCATTAACATCCTTGCCAGTGGGTAGTTGCCTTTGGCATTTGCCATCGCTCGGATTTGTTCTCGGGCATCTTTGCTTCCTTCAGAAGCTGAATGTAGAGGACTTTTGAACCTTGACTTTGCTTAACTCTTCAAAATATATTCTTCAGAAGATTATTATCAGCTTTCATTTGTGTATTATTGCATTATTGATGAAATGTCAAAATATGCATGTTCTCGGGATGTCTTCAAGCCAGCTTTAATTTTAATGCAATATATGAGAATGCATATGCATTAAACGAATTTTTTTTAGCCAAGAACAATTTTCACGGGCATAGCAAAAAGTATGACTCCAGGCTCATGACAAATAGCGAAGCGCACAAGAAACACAATCATATGTCGTCGTAACAGGTTTTTGAGAGTGTTTATAGTGGAGAAATTTTGCAAAATTTTTAGACAGGCTAAAAATTTTTGCAGTTCTATTATACCATTGCGCTACTCATGTTTTACTACTTCAATTATACGAGTCAGACGAAATGTATGCCAAATGTATCTCATAAAAGTAAGTAAAGTAATGGTTTGCAAAACATCAGGATTTTGAATTTATAGTTTGCTCATAGGTCCGAAATCATAATCAAAATGTAGCTTTGGCTTGAGAGCAGATTTGAGGCCACCTGGACCGCATTGTACGATGAATAAGAATTTTGAAATTTTCCTCATGCAGTCTCTTTTATTTTAATTCTGTACTTTGATCCAAGATCCAAAGCCAATAGACAATAGAATTTTGCTATGATTTTTTCAATCGAACTCTTAAACTTTTTAGTGTTTAGCTTTTCTTCCCACACCCCCGGCCCCTGTCTCCTCATGTTTTCATGTTAAAGCAGTAGTCGGATTTGGAACAAGTCAATTCTGAGGACAGGCTTCAGATGTGAGCTTATAACACAGCCGAAAGCTACATTTTGAAAATTCCGGCTTCTTGGGTTTCGAGATTCTCAAATTCCGTCGCACTGGCCCACAAGGCTGACCGCATATATTGCACTTTTCTGACCAGTACAAACTTATACAGAATAGTAGCTTATTATAGCAACTGAGATATGTTAAACTGGAAAAAGTAATTTGTAAGCAAAGAATGGAACCGGAAATTATCATGAAGCTGCTGTGTTAATTCGCAAGCTGCCTTTTGATTTTCTATTTTAAATTATGCTGGGAATATCAAGAAATTTCTAAGCTACTCGCACCATCGAAAGCCTCACCACCGAGTGGTTGCTATTGACACATACTATTTTGAATTACTTTCGAGTGTCTACGAGAATGAACATGGTGAGGATTTTAACTTCCGGTGTGATTTCAAGGCTTCATTTCAGGATGACTTTTTAAAGTTCCTGTTTCATTTCGCTACTTCCTTCCTTCCCTGCTCCTCCCTACCTTCTCCTTAAACTATTTGCTGCAATAAAAATAGGACAAAATCCACCTGACTGAAAATTAAACTCAGCCACTGTCCTATACGTCTCCAGTGATTCGCTCTTTCAGCTCCTGGTGTAGGGAACTCTTGGAGTTTTGAGCGCAGAAAAATACCGAATTTCAAGTGACAGCTGTTTTTATGAAGGATAAGGTACGGATGCTATTAAAGTATGTGGGGTGTTGAGAGTGGGCTGAAAGCAGTTGTTTTAGAAGCAGCACCAAGGCGATCGCTCAGGAATGAAGAAAAAAGCACCCAGGTTTTTAGCGCATCTTTGTGCGCTCGGTCGGATGCGATATATTCGTTGACTGCTATAACAAGCGATTCACCAAATGCATCCCGGTGCTTGCTCCTGCAAAATTGCAAAAAGCTGTAGTTTGAGCCGAAAAAACTCTCTTTTCCTAAAAGTTGCAAGTCAAGTCAAGTGGCTTAATAGTCTTCATAAAGAAATCCATTTTGTAGGTCTAGTATGCAGCTTAATACTTGAATACCAGAAACACCAAGAAAGCTTGAGCGATAATTATGTTCCCCCGAGTTCGTAATGTTACTGAAATATTCCCACAGCTCGGAAGCAGCTTTGCCAGGTTATTGATCGTGCGCTGTATACCTTCAATTACTACCGCAAATATTTGTCCGTGTGACTGTATACATTTTCAAGGATACCACTCACTAATGTGCAACGTCCATCTGTTTTGGAATAAACCAATAAATTAAAATACTGCACTGTCACAAAATTTTTGACATAAAAAAAGTATTTCGCTCACTCTCGCCCATTTTCTCGTCCTACCTTACGGGTTCTCGACAGTCCGATTGTAAAAGCAGTTTTTAAAAGATGTCAAAAAAGCTAGCCTAATAGCAAATCCAGTATGCCCCCTGCCGATCATTTCGAGCCAGGGCTGCAATGCCACTT